ACGATTTAACAAATCTCTGCCTAACGATATGCATGCATTGAAATTTTCTTCACGTGCGTCAATTTCCGCTTTCAGGCTCTGGTGATTGTTCATCAAAAGCTCAACACCGGACACATCCTAAACAATTCCATATTTCAAAAGTATCAGCATAAAAATTTTGAAATACCCCGCGAGAAAAGCTGAAACAAACCCTTGGCCTTTCTTGTGAGCTCATCTCCCGTCGAACCTCATCCATCCAAAGAAGCAAGTCACGGACCATATTCATAAAACGGAACAGATCCGAGGTATCGCCCAATCGCACTGAACGAGCGTCACACATCGCGCGAAGCTGGCGCCATGCCTTCTGCACTTCGGCTTCTCGAGCGCCAATCTCGATTGCCCGGTCTCCGGCATAAGCATCGCGTAATTGCACAGCATCGTGCTCAATCTGCGCTACTTGTTGGCCAATTGCTTCTATATCCTGCAATAGCATACGCTGTGAAACGTCGTACAAGACATTTCTTAACAACTATGAAAGGTAAGCGAATATTCACTTGCCTTAAGGAAATTTTGATGTTTTCGCTTTAGTGCGCCAACAGAGGACGAGTCCCGGCCAAGATCTTCCGGTATAGCATGATTTTTCTCCAGAATTCTGGATAAGCAATCACGGCAATCGTGAAAGAATTTATGCAGCATTCTGGACGCTTCTAACATTTGCATACGTGTATCCATCAATTCGAGCAGATTTCCCCATGCTTCGTTCAAACTGTCCTTCCATAACGCTACTGTAGGAGCATCCGAATGCCCAACAGCAATTAACTGAAATTATCGATGCAGTTAGCAGCAACAATTCGTTGCATAATCTGGAATGTGAAAAACGCATACTTGATCGCAAGCATCATTAGCATTAGCTACACGATCCGATCCGATGATTTCTGTATCTCTGGCAAATTGTTGCGCTCGCTCAATAAGCATCTGCACATGTTCGTAATCTTGTCCTGCCTCTTGTGAACCAGCAACAACCTGAAGTTAAAAAACTTGTTTGCTCGAGTTCATTAAAAAGTTGTTTGCCCCAGATCAAAATGGGAGTTTTCGTAGACCCCCCCTAACACTGGAGAATCATGTATGCTGCTTAGCAACCGAATCGTGCAGTGCTAATTGCATTTGCTACTCCTCTTGTCCAATATTTGCATCGTTCAGCAGATACCATTTTCTATCCCGTTATACCAACCATGAGCGTTTCCCAAGCAAAATCAGGGCTATAGTATATATGATAACATGTAAAATCTGTCAGATCACTATTAAATCAAATGTTCCGACAAAACACACAACAAGCCTCGAATATAGGTTGATAGAGAGAGCAGACTGTCCTATGCAAAATTCTCAACAATGAGTGTCATTACCTCTTTATCAGCAATCCACTGCAAGAGATCATCAATTTCGCGATGAAGCTCATAGAGCTGCAGCGTTTCATCCAGGCGCTTCCGTCTTTCTTTACACAAATCTTGTAAGCCGGCGTACAATTTCTCGATCTGCGCTTGACGAACGCTGACTTGCTCCCTGAATGAACAATTCTAACAAACAATTATTGCATGAACAAGCATCCAAAAATTTCGTGGCAAACAATTATAAACGGTGGCAGAGGGAGAGAAAAGGCGGGAAGCAAACGTGACGTTCGAAACAGCCGCAAAGAGTAACTGTGCAACGGAGAAAGCTTATAGATTGAATACAGACAGCTTCGATGAAAGAAATTCAAAATGCTAAATTCCCACGCCGAGAAACAATCCTGGCGTCATTTAAACGGAACTGCAAAACGCCTTTAACAAATTACCAAAGCGGGCGTTTCTCATCAACAAATTTCTGCGCCTGCGCAGACAAATTTCGGATGGTATCCGCATACTGGTTAATATCCTGCTGCAAGCGCTCATGCTTCTTTATCTGGTTTTCTGTTGAGAACTCATCCTTGCCGCGCTCATCCTGTAACGGAAAATATTTCATCAGTGCAACAAAAAACGGGATCTGCGCCACTTCCAAGGCAAAATACTTCAAACCTACTAGACTCTAACCAGCAAACAGTAGACAGACCTGCATCATGTAAAGCTCTTGTTCGCTCATCCATGCTTCAGCTTCATTACAATCG